ATTCTGCAGGCACCACTGGTCCTCGAGGGTCATTATCCTGTACATTTTAGAGGGTTTTCATCTCATTTTCCTCAATAGAAAAACTAAAGGGGAGTTGGTTTTAGCACCAGTTCAAGGAAACGAGGAGTGAAGACTTCAAGGAGCAGAGGTCACATAGGTGCAGGACTTCAAGTACTTTGATTCAACCATCCAGGAAACAGGGGGAGTATGATAAAGACGCGAAGAAGAGGCAAGATGGAGTGGGTGGAGAAAGGGTTTAGGAGTGATTTGTGATCAAGGTCAAAGGAAAGGTTTACAGCAAAGTAGTGGGACCAACTATGTTTGGTTTAGAGAGAGTGGCACTTGTCCACTTAAATTTGCTTTCAGGATTTATACCTAAACAGGTTTGCATTTTTTTGAAATACTATATGTAATATTGTACTTACTTGACTGATCCATGAGATGGCAGTCTGCACAACTTTTGACCACGTCGCACTCCATATCTCAGCTTTTTGAAATCTGCCATCCAGTGCAGATCAGGTTTTTGACGGTAAACAAAGACCACCAAAAGTTTCTCCAAAGAACGAAGAGACCGTACTTCAGTTCATCTCAAACAAATGACCGTTAACAACTTCTTTTCTAATGTCATTATTGGCCACAGGCAGGAGAAGCACCACAGTGAGGCCTTCTCCCTGTTAAAGCTTGATGAAAAGGTAACTGATTCCCCCCATGAACATCCCCAGGAGCAATGTTGATGAAAAAACAGCTGTGGCACAAATATTCCTCAGTGTGCTACAGAATGCCACAGCAAAACACACCCTGCTGACTCAGATCTCATTAAGATGCACAGAAGGGAGCAGCTGAATGAATTTTCAAGCAAATAAAAAAGAAAAAAAGAGAGACAAAAATAGACCAAAGAAATGGTATTAAAACACTTGTTTTTGCCAGCAAGACAGTAAATCCCAAACGAGTTGTTTTTGCAGTCTGTGGCACATTTTTTAAAAAGATAGATGTAAAATGTGTTCTGTGCAATGTGAATTGTGAAGTATGATTAATTCATCTGACACCATTACTCTGTGCTGCTGTGGCCTAACTTCCTGTTTCTGCGGCTGCAGAATAAAATAGGTCATAATTAGTTGTTTCTTTCAGTTTGGGCTGTAGTTGCTTCTTGATCTTTACTCCCTTCCAGAAGTTTGTCTTGTTCTCTTTGAATTATGCAAATGTTTGAAGCTGTCCTGGGGAACATTCTGGGATCTGACAGAATCTGGGATCTTCAGCAGCATCGGACTTGCATACTGTATTTCTATACTACACAAGCACTGGCCCTGTTGACTTTAAACATTCACTGTGTTGTTGTATGCACAGTATGAACCAGGCAATATTCTGTGTAAGGATTTCCACAAATGAATGGATATCTCTGCAGGGCAGCTTCAGTTTGCAGGAAACAATATAAAGAGCATAAAAAATCAAAAAGTGGATCCAAATCTTGCTCTTCACTTTTGTTCCCACTATTTCTTCATAGCAACCAAGACTGCAGGAGTGCAGCTGAGTGAAAGTCCCAAATTAACTAAATTACACATGAGATGAGCATCACTGCTTGCATTAATATTAGTTTCATAATGAAACTACAGACAGGAAACACAGACAGGATTCCATGCGACCTTCAGGTGAAAATGAAGACCCCAAACCCAGACCCAAACCAGTGGTTATTCCGTATGTTGCGGGTGTTTCKGAGAAACYGAGACGTTTATTTTCTAAAYATGATGTCCCAGTRGCTTTCAAACCHCAAAACACATTACGGCAAAGGCTGGTTCACCCCAAAGATCCGGTGCCCCGGCACAAACAGAGCAATGTTGTATATGCTGTTAAGTGCCAGGAGGACTGCGACCAGTTATACATCGGGGAAACAAAGCAGCCACTGTTCAAAAGAATGTCCCAACACAGACGAGCTACATCTAATGGCCAGAACTCTGCAGTTTTCACTCATTTACAGGCCAGCGGTCACTCTTTCAGAGATGAGGATGTTCTCATTCTTGATAGAGAGGAACGTTGGTTTGAGAGAGGAGTAAAAGAAGCCATTTTTGTGAAGAAAGACCGTCCATCATTAAACAGAGGTGGAGGCCTCCGTTTTCAGTTGTCCCCCTCCTACATTGCGGCTATTGCCAGTATCACTCCACCCCCTGTTAACAATAGGTGTTAATTAGGTGTCAACGATAGCCATGTGATGTATCAGTCACATGGAGGCAGGGCTTAAAAGCCTGAATTTTGCCTGAAACTCTCAGACTGAAGAAGTCTCTTGGAGGAGAGACGAAACGTTTCATTAGAGAAGAACCCGTCCAGAAGACCTATACAATTTTTTTTCTTTTTGATTTTTTACCTGGATTACTGAGATGCATCAGGACAGTTTCATAATGGTTCATAAGATACGTAGCTAACAACCTGACAAATATAACTCCAAACACTGTACACAGTGGCAACGATTATATTAGTGCTCAGAATGTTGGGGATCAATCTCAGCTACAATCAAACCAAATTTTAGGTGAGTATTTATAAAACTGCCTGAGGTTAGAGCTATTTTTTGTGTTTTTAAATTCAGTTTGCAGTGAGTCTCTTCTGAAAATTTCAATCAAATCTGTCTAATGTTTCATGAGATATTTTGCTAACAGAAACAGACGTGCAAAAATGTATCACCCACCTCTTAAACACAAATTGTGTCTTATAAAAGCCTTTATTAGTACTTGAACAACTTTGAAAATTGAAACTCAAATCTAAAGTTCCTTTATTTCTCTGTAGAGGGTTTATAATTAAATGTTTTGCTGTGATTCGTCATCATCATCAGCAGATTTGATTCTGTTCAGTAAAGCGTTGAGCTCCACACAAACTGACTCGTTAATTCATCAAGCTGCCTGTTAAAGCAGACAGGTACACTCGTGGTAAAATATGCTGCTGCTGCTGTGTATCTGAGGCGTCTGCAGGATATTTGTACATCTGGATGTTGAGCATGCAGACTCCTACATTTCTGTCTCCCTCTTGTTTCTGTCAGGCGTAATAGAATCAGGCGCTGTTAAGGCCGCGAGACAAGGTCAGCGGCATGATTTCTCAGCGCCAGAGGGAGCCGTTTGTCAAAACCACTTATGATTTAAACCTTCCCCTGCAATAAATAACAGAGTGACTCAGTTGGCTACCGGTCGCTGCATCAGGGTTAAAGTACCTATAAATTGTGAGCATTCCTCTTCCCCAGCACACAAACACACACTCGTTTTACTCAACACTTCAACCTGCTGCTGAGTTTCCGACTTGGCTGCAGCTGCTGAGTTAGATGTGCCACTTTTAAGGAGAAACAAGAAATCATTAAGCTCCGGGCCCAGAACATTAATGCAGAGCCACACTTCAGCAGCCAAGAGCAGCGAGCTGGGAAAAAAAAAAAAAAAGGCCATCGCTGGAGACGAACTGATGGCCATGCTTTTACAGATATGAGCCCACCGTGTAAACAAACAAATTTACAGCGTCGTGACGTTTATGGTGATCGTGAAAAATGCAGACTGTCTGCAACAACATCTGCACCATAAACAAAGAGCGGTGATGTTCGGAGAAACAGAAACAAAGTTTTAAATCACGTGTTGACTTTAATGTATATGAAAAAACAACACTGCAGCTAAAATACAACCCCTGACAAAAATAAATGTTAAGCACCAAGATAGAGTGCTGGGAATGAAATGAAACCACATGTGGTGAAAGGATTTTGATACAGGATCAAATGGATAACAGAAGTGGCAGCGAGGTTGGTCCCCGGTGAGCAGGTCTGGACACATGAGAAATAAATGAACAGCTGTAGCATCAACCTTTTTATTTACACTTCACCTGAACTCTTGGTACAAAAGAAGCACACAATACGTGGTACATTTAGTATGAATTAAATACATCATAATGCAAAAACAGATTTATTTATGTACATGTATACAATTTATTTATAACGATTTGGAATGTCTGTGGTTCTGTTTCGTTAACCTCGGCCTGAAACCACACAGTGGAGGTGACACACTTCTGCTGAGATCTAAAGAGAATTACTTGAAATAACCAGCAGGCAGGTTTGATGGGGGGAGAAACTAGAACAATGCTGCTGTGCATTAGACTTGGATAAACATCAGCTCAACTGTGGAGAACTGCTACTCCGTATGTGTCAGCTTGCTGGTAAAGTTGGGCATCTTTTTTTCCTTCTTCATCAGCTCCCGAGGCTCTTGGCTTTTAGCTGTCTTGTAAATATAAAGTGCATCCTGTGTGCTACATTAGCTCCAAATCTGTGAGCTGAGACGGGACGCCTGCTTCGACTCTCGCTGTCAGATTTCTTCTTTTGTATCAGACGTGAATTAAACCAAACTGAGTTTCTTACAGGATGCGTCTGTACTGCTCATGTTTCTTGTCACGGCCCACGAGTGTGACGGCGCGAGTTTGCTCCACAGATTCATCTTCCCTTCACGTCTCGTACTTTGTCTCCAGCAGAATCTCACAACGCTTTGAACATGACATCAAAACAAAATGCTGCTGCAAGTTGAAATCAACATCATTAAACTCAGTCTCATCATATGGTCTGCTGCTCATTTTTATCTGGGAATTCAGCCCTGCTTCGAAATGAAACGGTGCAAGAGTCTGAGTGTGTATGTGTGTGTGTGGCAGGGAACAGCAGGGAACAAAGGAAGTGGAGAGAGGAATGGAGGGAAGATTCTCATTTGAGATAAAAATATACTTCTCGCACACACACACACAATGACAAAACATCTACAGCGAAGGAAAATAAGGTGGCTGGTGGACAGAAAAGCTCAGAGGACCCTGTTTAAAAACCTGAGCCTGTACATTTGCTGACCTTGTGCTCTGGGGGGAAATGGAAAACAAATTCTCCCTGCAGGGATGAACACATGATGACCACTGTGTTTTTATTATTTCTCAGGCTGTAAAGCCATTAACGCTTAATGAACACCAGCTGCAGAAAGAAAAACAGATTTGAAATTAAAGGCCTGGTATTCTGTAAAGAAATACATCTACCGCCCAACGCCGTTCATATTAAAGTGCCTGTGACGTCAAATGTTTGTTATAAATATGAATGCATTTTTGGAACGTTAACAATGATGTTGCAAAATAGACGAGATGAACAGGAAGTGATGTCAAAGGGGAATGCTACAATGGCTGACAGCACAGACTGTATAGAATAAGTTCAAATAATATTGTTTCAATAAATAAAGACCAGGGAGTTCCTTTTCTTAAAGAGTTTCCCTTTGATGTCACTTCCTGTTTCACTTTTTTTGAGCTGAGTTCAAAGGAAATATGACAATTATGTGACAAAACGGGTAAAATTGTGTTTATTATATCAAGTCTCTTAGATATAAAAATGTTTTTTTTTTTTTTGTATTTGAAGGATATGCATGTCACAGGCACTTTAAAGTGTAATATTGAGAACATCTTAGACTGAGAAATGACAGAAGTGTTGCTGTTTTGGTCAAACGTTGTACATGACATTATGTGCAGCCTCATGCAATATGTTGAGGGTAACTGTCAGCTACTACCACAGTAAATTTAATTACACATTAGCAAAACTGACCAAGTTGTGGTCACTTTTTGGGTTTTCAAATATCAAATTAGTTGTGTTATTTTGCTAAAAGTGTAACTCAGACATGGGCAAAAACATTATTGCCCATCTTTGCTTTTCAGCAGTGGAAAGCAAAGGAGAAGGATAAAGCCTGGGTAATTTCTGTTAAAATAATTGACACAGAGGCTTCATATCTGGGCTGATCCAACATGAAAGACATGCAGAAATCTATCAGATGAAGCATAATGTGTTTCTGACTGAAAGTAAAGCCTTTCGCAGAATAGCTGTTTATGAGGTTGTGCTGATTATGTCAAAACTCCTGCTTTCATCTGTCAGCGGGCAACAGAGGCAAAGCAAAACAGAAGTGCACTTGCCAACGGCAGCAAAAAGAATAAATAAAAATAGGGTTTGTATTAAAATAGCATCAAAACGCACGATCAGATTTTGTTAGGAAAGCCGAGAGCTTAAAATGATGAGGCAGTCGTGACAATCTCTCCCTCTGTCTGTCAGTTCTTTGTCAGCAGAAAGAGAAGCTGAGAGCAGTAATGTAGGTTTTATACTACCTGTGTGTGTTTCACTTTGCTTAGAGGAAAAAAAAACATCCCTAAAAGGCAGCTGTTCTGTCCTTCTCAGATAAATGCTGCAGATGTTTCTGCACTGGACATTACCCAGATCTTTTGCTAAAACGTGAAGGATTTGTGAGCAGACACACACACAAAAGGATAATATCTGAGGGTAAATCTGCCCAGGAAGGCGTTTCTTGTTTCCTCAGTGAAGACAGCTGGTTTGCTCGGCGTCTCTTCAAGCCTCGGCGGAGAAGGTGATGCGAGCCTCTGAGCCACATCGTGTACATTTAGTCTGTCATCATATATCTCTGTTCACGTGTTCACAGTCTGACGGCCACCACACAAGCTCCCGCCCTTCCCAGACACAGAGGGGCAACCTGGAAGATAAAAATCAATCACTGACAACAGCTGCAGATCAACAAGTGCAACACATTTAAGATACGGTCGATACTAAAACATCAGTTTCAGATAACAGTAGCTCTGGAGGTCATCAAGCAAAATGATTATTATTATTAGGCTGCTTCATCTGAATAAGAAGCAACTGGAAAACTGATTTCTGTATTAAAAACCTTTAAAGCCAAAAAAAACCTAACCTTAAAGTTGCATGTTTTAGATGTATTTCTGCTTTCTTTGATTTGAATTAAAGTGGGATTAACAGGCTTCTGCAGGACGTGAAGACCTCCAACTAAAACATGCAGGGTCCTCAAGGACCATTGGTCTGCACCAGTGTAAGTCAGTGGTCAACATTCTTACTGTATTGTGTAAGTAAACTTTATTTATATAGCACCTTTCATGGACACAAACATCACAAAGTGCTTAACAGAGCGCAAAATAACTAAAAACAACAAAAACAGGTCACAAAAAATAATAAATAACAACTAAAACACAATAAAAAGCACATTAACTAAAAGCCTGTCTGAATAAAAATGTTTTAAGAGGTTTCTTAAAAGAGTCAGTAGAATCAGAGGGAGAGCGTTCCAGAGCCTCGGGGCCACCAGCTGAAAAGCTTTATCTCCACGAGTTTTATAATGGGTTTGAGGGACCACCAGCAGCATTTGATTTGAAGACCTCAAAGTCCTGGATGGACAGAGAGGCTTCAGAAGGTCCAGTATGCATTTGGGGGCCTTTGTTAATAACCTCGACACAGCGTTCTCCACTGACTGAAGGCGAACCAAGGAGGATTTGTTTAGACATGTAAAAAGGTTGTTACAGTAATCTAAACAAAAAGAAATAAAAGCGTGATCAACCACCTCTAATTCCTTCTGCGACACAAAGTATCTCAGCTTTGAAATGTTTCCTAATTGATACAAACAATTACGAACTAAGGTTTTACAATGAGTGTCAAAAGACAAGGAACTGTCAAAGACAACACCCAGATTTCTGAGATTATTTTTCACTGAAGGGGTTAAAAAACAAGGTGCTGCCTGAGAACAGGAATTTTATCATCAGGGGTGATAATAAGAGTCTCAGTCTTGCTTGAATTTAATTGCAAGTAGTTGTTGTTTAGCCATATTTTGACTTCTGACAGAGTTAATACTGAATACTGAATGTGTGTGTATTAATATACAACCCAGGAAATTTTGTCTCTAAAGACAAAGTGAGTCTTCAGTTGCTCTGCTCTCTCCTGGTTGTTTTTGTAGCCATTGCTTGTAAACATAAACTCATGTCTCAGCTTAATGTTAACCATCATCCCATGATGTCTGAAGGGACTGACTGACAGATTTGTGCTGAAACAAGCAGGGGAGCTGATAGCCAAGCGTCCAGACAGACAACACCTGTAGGACACGTTCAATGCTCTCACCGTGTCTCCTCACATCTCAGATTACCCGTCTGACTGTGTGAGCTGCTGCAGTATTTTGTACTGCATTTTGAACACACCCACACCTCTCATGTTCTCAGCGTGGCGCGTGTCTCTAAAATGTCAGATTTGCTGCGACTTCGGCTGGAAATCCTCTGAGGATTTGCAGGAGATGGGGTGTAAATGGAAGTGAGATATAGGCTTCTAAAAGCCTCTGAATGAGATCAGTCCACGTTTTAACAGCCCCCCCTACCTCCCACCGCTGCAGCTCCAAGGACAATATTGGCTTGGAGGGGAAGAACACACATTTAGAGAAGAAAGAAAACATGTAAATATGAGGAGGAGGAGCGACAAGAAGGTCAGCTGTGTTTTAAAAATAGCTTTAAATGATGCCGATCATGGAAAACTAGAGATGATGAAAAAAAAAGCAAACACACGTGCACTGATTAAAAGAGCAGGTACTTAATGTGTGTGTGTTCAGTACCTGCGTCCACTCATTGGTCTGAGGGTCGTACGCCTCCACAGTGTTGAGATACACCTGTCCGTCATACCCGCCCACAGCATAGAGGCGGTCGCCAAGGAGACAAACGCCTACAGCATCTCTGCTGATGCTCATGGGGGCGACAGCCGTCCACACGTCTGTCTGAGGGTCGTACCTGCAAACAAACACCCTTTACATTCAGTCCACAACATTTAGAAAAAGAATAAAACTTTATTCCATGTTATTAGTTTGCAGTGTTAAAGAAGAAGCTCCGTATTGTTTACATCTTTCTGTTAAATAGAGAAAGGGGTCAGTCTGGCAGTAAAGAAAAATAAAGCAGTAACAGTTTCTCTATTTCTTAGCATGGTAGTTAGTAATAAAATGTGCTGGCATTCTTTGTTCTTGTTCAAACTGAGCTCACCGTGTTACGTGAATATTACTGATTTAAACAAGAGAAAAGTATTGAATTTTCACACGTCAGACTGGATGAAACACAGACCTGTACGCTATTTTATTTGCCTTTGTTTGAACACCCTTCAAATTGTGGCTCTGATTATCTTCTGCTATTTATTAAAATCTTCAGAACATTTTGTCTGTGAAAACATAGATAATTCCCGAAGCTACTTTTCCAATTTTTATGACCTGTTATGATGAGAAACCAGCAGCAGCAGAGTTGTTTACATGCAGAATAGCTGAGTTTTCTAAACCTGATTAATGCTTCACAGGAAACGTCAAATCTCCCAGAAGATGGAGATGTTGCGAAAATGGGGCAGGAAGAGCTCTACCCTGCCTAAAACACAGCCTCACCTTTCCACACAGTCACTTAACCGAGACGCAAGAGACGACGCCGGAGCATCGTGACCTCCGATGGCGTACAAAAAGCCATGCCATGTGGCCACGCCCACACCTCCACGCCTTTTCGCCATGGGAGCACAACCCGTCCACCTATAAATGGAGATCAGCAAAAAAAAAAAACTCATTAAATCTATCATAACCCATCAGACAGAGCCTCCAGCACACATTAAAAAAGCCCTTTATAAACAGAGGCTGCCTGACTGTGATCTAACATCCTGAGAGGATTAATGGGATCTTTTGATCTGTGGATAAATAACCTCAGAAAAAGAGGTGCTTCCCTAGTGGCAACAGCAGACAGGACATAAACCAGGAGGAGGTGATTAATTCTTGCC